CTTTAAACCCTACTTTAAATTAGATAATGAGTAATATATTCTGTCACTTCTAACAAGGTGCTTTCCCCTTTAGGTCAGGGTGGTTCTCAAATGAAAAGAAAAAACACAGTAGGGTTAGTGCTTGTCTAGACAGTTATAGCTCTGACTTTTTTTTTTTTGAGACAGAGTCTCACTTTGTTGCCCAGGCTAGAGTGAGTGCCGTGGCGTCAGCCCAGCTCACAGCAACCTCAATCTCCTGGGCTCAAGGGATCCTCCTGCCTCAGCCTCCCGAGTAGCTGGGACTACAGACATGCCCCACCATGCCCGGCTAATTTTTTCTATTTATATTAGTTGGTCAATTAATTCCTTTCTATTTTATAGTAGAGACGGGGTCTCGCTCTTGCTCAGGCTGGTTTTGAACTCCTGACCTTAAGCAATCCGCCCGCCTCGGCCTCCCAGAGTGCTGGGATTACAGGCGTGAGCCACCGCGCCCGGCCAGCTCTGACTCTTAAATGCATCAATCCCTTCATTTTTCTCAACAGAAATAAAAATTCCCACTTATGAAACATTTAATTTTGTGATCTCTTATAAGATCTGACTTAAATAAAGTAACATATAACTTCCAAAACTCATCTCATGGATCACACGATTAAGAAGATCTAGACTCAACTGTCTCTGAAGACACGGAAGTCACGCAACCTCACAGTACAGCAACTTCCCCTTTAAACAAATTGACATCATTCCTTCTGATTTTTGCGAGGACAAGATTTGGCACACTCAGGAAAGCTATGCATTCTAAAAAGATGTGAAGTTTTATTTATTGGTTATTATAAGTCAGACAAAAGGCATTATTCCTTCAGACTTGCTCTCTTCCCTGAGTAACTTCGCTGTCCTGATGCCACATGCATACAGGTACCTCCTGGGATGTAGAATGCAGCCATATCTGGACCAGTGACTGTGCCTCTTTGGATGCAATTCAGAACTGATGGTCTGAATGAGTTAAAATTCTTATTTTATATACTGATTTCCTCAGTGTATTCTAAATATTGGAAGAAAAAACTTGAGCAGGTACCCATTTATACCTATTCTTTAGGTTAACATTTCAATAACCACACATTACACATTGGAACCTGTAGCTGTCTGTCCCCCACCACCAAGAATTAACTTTTAAGAATCAAAGGAAGCCTGTTGCCTGTCATCCCAGTGCTTTGGTAAGAACAAGGCCAGAGGATTATTTGAGGCCAGGAGTTCAAGGTTGCAGGGAGCTATGATCAACACCACTGCACTCCAGCCTGGGTGAGAGCAAGACACTGTCCCTAAAGGAATCAAAGTTGTTCTGTTATAAAGCCTTAGTAGGAACTAAATTGTGATTGTATTCTAGGCCCACTTATGTCAGAAGCTAAATTTAGTACATAATTGATATATATCATTATCTGATGGATAATGAACAAGGTTTCAAAGATACCGTAAAGACAATTTAAAAAAATTCAAGCAAATGCAAAGTGAGGGGAAATCAATTTGCTATTTGGCCTGCCGAATTCAAATAGTAAAACTTCACTTGTTTTTCCTTTATGCCTCTTTTCCTTGCCCCTGCCCCACTGACCTTGGCAGTTTTTAAGTATACTTTGCAAGGCATTTTTAATATTTCCTTTTGAGAACTATGTGCCTAAAGCTACACATAATCACAACTGATCAATTCTGCTTTATTATGTTAACTATGTAGGTTATTTCCACAGGGTTAGCCTGATGTAAGAGCTCCAGTGAAAGTTCTTAGTGTCCACTGGGTAATTCATTAACATCAAGGTCTTGAAAAAGAAAGGCAGTAGGAATAACAGAGATTTGGGATTAACCTTTTAGGTTTTGCTTTCTGGTCTCTACAACAGTTTAAAAACCTCTGGAAATTGAGGCCAGTAGATTGTGATTAAGTATTTAATTTTCAATGTAATCTATTCCAAATTCACTGGTTCATGCTGATTATTTATATTTAACTAATAATCCGGTAGATTCTAAGAACTGTGGAATGTGAATGGGTTTGGCACTGCAACTAGGCTCTGCCCCAACACTGTCTTCCCCCTCCCCCTTCTGCCTAGCTGTGTGCCACTTTACTTCTGGGTAAAATGTGTAGTAAAATTTGGACACTTACACCTCAAAGTTGGGAAAATAACACACAAATGCTCATCCATAGGAGACACAGAAGACAATGAAAAAGTCTTTCCCAATGGACAATTAGGACTCATTTACCACACCCAAGTTCTTAAATGGAAATCATTCTTTAGCTACAACTCACCTAAGTTAAACTGCAAAGGTCACACATAGCACACCACTCTGCTCTATTCTTAAGAGTAAACTTATTTACTCCCACAGCAGCCATATGTACCCATATACTGACACTCTCAATATTAACATCTCTACCCCACTATAATATTGCCACTTGGAAATTTCTCCCTCAAAAGAAATTATTTTGAAACTCTTTCAATACCTTCCAAAACATCTCCTTTCCCAGTCACATTGCTATTGCTAAGTCCCAAGCAATCTGGGAACCAACTACTCAGCAAATAGCTATATGCCATTACTCTAGGTACCTGGAATATAACAGCACACAAGACTGTATCCTCATCCTCATGAAGGTTACATCTTAGCAGGAAAAAAAATTAGCATATAATACATACACAATAAAGTAAACCATGAATATCAGATTACAAATGCTATGGACAAAAATAAGTGGAGAAGGAGATGACAGGAAGGTGTGAGAAGTGGCACTTAAAGGGTGGTCAAGGTAGACTTCACTGCAGACCTGAACTTGAGCAAGTGAGCCATACAGGTCAGCTGAAAGCCTTCCAAAAGGAAAAGACAACTTGAAGATTTACAATGACAGCACTTGATACTGAAGGTCAGTTCAGCTATTGTGCAGAAGTTAGAAAAGTGACAACTTTAAGTATAATGAACCTGTGTTTTCTAACTTTACCAATTATTCATAAGTAATCTTACTTCACCTAAAACTCCATTCAATGCCTATCACAACCTTTCCTCAGATATTTTTAAGCAAATCATTTATTTCACCCAAATTTCTTAAAAACCTAACCATATAGTCATCAAACAGATTAACTCCTCAGTATCATATAATCAGTTGGTGCACCCGAATCAAGAGTTAAGTAAGATCCATACGTTCCAATTGGTTGCTTAATTTTTCTGATAAAGACTCTGAACATACCTTATACATTTGAAGTTATTCACCAGGCTTTCCTCATGGACTAGATGAGAAATTAAGATCGAACATTAAACTTTGCCTGAAAAATTCCTGTTCTATTCCTTCTGCATTGTTATTAGTTCACTAGAGTTTATTCTTGAACTATCATACTTATCAAGTAGTTAAAAAGGATAATCAGCTTAAGAAAAAGTCCCAAACCAACAGCTCTTTTATTGCACCATCAAAATTACAAATACATCTTAGTAATCATGTGGTGTCTTCATGTGGCTGGACAACTGTAAAAAGAAATGAAAATATCTGTAAATCTCCATCAATACCCTTGCCTAGAAAAGTACTTTTCTAAATAATTTAAAACATACTTTAGGATTATGGCTTACTGGCTCACAGTAAGCTGTACACAGTAAAACATATGCAATGCTGTCTCTTATTTTGCCAATTTACTGTGTTCTAGATCCCAACTCTCCATTTTTTGATAAATTCCACTTTAAGTCCTTAAGTAAATCAAGAGTCTCAACTATGGTGGTAAAAAACTTATAGCCATTACAAGAACCCACCTCACCTCTTAGATCTTATTCATCAGCCTGCTGAACTGTTCCTTTTTCAGAGACATAGATACCATCCAAAAATTTTCTGATATCCTTGTTTTTAACTGTTGTGGCCTGCTGAATCAATGCAGCTATAGGGGTAAAAGATAAAGTAATTACTACATCAGCCAAACCCATTTTGAAAAGAAACGGTTTGATTCTTTGATATATATGTTCTTTATATATGCTATACTTAAAGTGTGAGAATAT